ATCGCCTTCAGTTGTACCCCCCACCAAAAACTTTTCATGAGCAAACGAATGGGGAAAATCCCCAATTTTGAGATAGAGATCAACTTCTATAGCTGTATTGTACAAAGGCATTATCAAATCACAGTTGCCAGTAATCCCAGTATGGGAAATATGAGGCCCAAAAAGAACTAAATCGCCACCACTCGGGCTTATGTAGTCTGCATCATTGGCACTTCGTTCGTAAACAACAAGCTGCACCTTGTCTCCACTAGCGATATTTTGATACTGAACCCGAATCGTACCATATACATGTAGGGGTCCATTTTCTGGAGATTTTGGCTGTACACGTACTGAATGCACATGAAGTAAAGGCCCAGCTTGAACATGTTCTCGGCCTTTCTGTTTTGCGGTTTCACGATCGAAACTGATATCTTGAATAAACCACCTTTCCATGAATCCGAGAATGTCAGTGCCGCGCAAACACCTTGCCACAAATGGGCCTTCAGAGATGAAAAGATTCTCCATATCTCGTACCGTAATATGGGGGTAACGATTTATAATTTCCATGACATCTTTACGCGAACCATAAGGGTAATGTTCCATGGAGAGATCCATAGTGCAAATAAAGATTCGCTGCAGAATATTGTGTTGAAATATGAGATCAGAGATCTAAAACGTGGGTTCAATAACTTCATTTCTTTTGATGAATAAAAAAACCACAGATTAATACACTACTGCATGAAGTCAAAAATAAACCTAATTGTGGTTATGGTAAGAATACTAATTCAGAGATTAGATTTACCTCAAAAACGGATTGTTTCTTAGGCCAGCGGCTAAGAGCGAAAGGTTTTTTCTACACAGGCGATGCGATGAAGAGAGGGTTGGGAGCGAATTTTTGTTCTCTCACGTATTGTTCCGACAAAGAAAGCGTGTACCGGTTGGAAACACAAACCTACAATCTAAGCTGAGAGGAAGAACTGTTTTTCATGTTCATTTTCTTTTTTCTCCTCAAATTCCTTCAACCAAACATAACACAGTGTTATGCTTCCATTACTTATTTTTCTCTTTATCGTTTGTTCAGTTAAAATAAAGATAATAAAAATATTATTATGAACAAAATAATAGAGATATACTACGTACATTGATAAGAACACAAATGAAAGAGAAGGATATCACATTTCAACATATAGAACCTCCATATATAGGCTTACAAACGTGTCGAACTCCACCGCCACAAACGGGTGCTCTCAGGTGTAACTCGGGCTATCCGCTACCTGTTTCCAGCCCACCAGACCGATCCCGGACCCGTCTGGTGGGACCGGGAGCGAAAAGTTGGGGTGGGCCTGGAAGAAGGTGACACCATCTCCGCGGTGGTTCGGGTCGGGCGAATCGATGGCGAATGTGAAGTGAGTTGTGAAGTCTGGAGTGTTTCCTGTGTTTTTGTCCCATAGTTGTAACAGTTTACTGTATGTCACTCTTCCTGCACTGTCTTTCCTATATCTGTGGAATAGAGTCAAAATGTAAGATATTCAACCTTTGACACCAATAATATGCACCGTTATGTCTTCTAAACACGTAAACTCAGATATTCACTATAATTATTACTGCGTATATGTGTATTTGCAAGACTCCTGGTAACAGGTTTGGTGTCATGGGTGGTGTCACTTCATGGATCTCGTAAGTACAAGAGCATAATAGATAAAAATTTACTCCACTCGTTCTTAAAATTACTTTTTCTTTCATTTTATCCACTTCACTTTCTATATAAACCACTTTTACCCCTTATTTTTTCATACCTTACCTATCACATGAGACTTTTTTTCTAGTCATCTATTCATCACATCTTACTTTTACCCAGGGCCAGCTCCAGAAAATGAAAAAATAAAATTGGCCTGGGCCTAAATTTATATTTGGGGCGCTATTTTATTTTTTTAAAATATTTTCCTCTAAAAGTATTAACAAATTAAAAAAATATGGGGCCCTAAAATTTTAGGGAATGTGCGATTGGCCACTTTGCACACCCTCCGGGCCACCAAAGCTTTTACCCATCACACCAAGAGAAAAATGATGGAAAGTCAGCTACAATTTAATACTTCGGGTACTTCCTTATTTTTACACTTGGTCAAATTAAAAAAAATAGAACGGAGGGAGTATATATATTTAGGGAGAAAAATCAAAACAACACTCTTAGAGTATTAAAATACTTTAAATAGCAGTGCTATATGTTTCGTATATATGATTCCAATTTTGACCTTTAATTAAACAACAAATGTTCATTATGCACTGCCAAAAAAATATGATTGTTTTGGGTAGTATGGTTGTTCACTCGTAATTGTGTTGTGGGCAGTGTAGTTTTTTATATGTAAGTATTTAATGTGACAGTGTAGAATGAATATATGTTGTTATATCGTACGACAGTGTCTAAATGTATTATTGTGTTCCTTAATTTCATGTTTTAGTGTAATGTCAATTGATTTATGTGGCAGTGATTTCATGTATAAATTTTACACTGTCAAAAAGTGTATGACTATTTTTATGTATGAATTCCACATTGCCCAAAAAATGTATAGCTCTTTTTATGTATGAACTAGTGCATCACCCGCGCGATGCCCGGGAAAAAAACCTTATCCTAATTGTGAAAAAACTTTTTTTATTGGGTGTTATTTTATAAAATGACATATGTACGTACTTCAATTTAAAAATATTTTCATTTTCTATTTAATTTACATACACATACAAAACATAAAAGAGAGAGTATTCAATTTGATAGTACTATGCTCAATAAATAATATGAAAATGAAGAATAATTAAATAAGATGAGAATGAAAGATAGTAAATTGTTCACATTAAGACCAATTAAACATTCTCAAATACCTCGTTATAAATTATATTTGTTGTAGTATTAGCTGGAGTATTTTCAAAATCATATATTTTATTATTTTTAAACAGCGCAGGAGCTTAACTTAGACATCACCACATACAGCTGTCTGTGACTGAAAATTGATTCTTTCAAAAACATGGGTGAACACCGAATCTCAATATAAAAACCTAAAGTTGTGACTGTTGACACACCAAGAATTTTATACTCGAACAAATTAAACTTCAATGACTCTTTCTCTTTAATGTATAACATCGAATGATATTTCTTTGATGTTAAAATGAAATTCTTATTCATTATTCACAAGGTTAAATTTTATTTGTTTTTCTCTAGTTTTTGTTAAAAAATAAATAGTTATGTCACATTTTTAATAGAATTATGTTGTAAGTCTGAAATATATAAAGTTTTACTTCGAGTATCTTTTAATTCAATATAAATTTTCCAAACAAATTGAATTAAAATTAACTTTAATTTTATACTTTGAGATTACATTGTCAACTAACACAATAAAGAGAAACATTTCTAATTATATACAAATAGAAAAAATGTCAATTGAAATGAAACCCGATTTAAAACGATTTAGCTAATTAAGCTAAGTATCCTTGTGTCAAATTTTCAAACATTCACCTAAAATAACAATAATCAATTTAAAAATATATCTTTTATTTTTATTTAGCGCCCGTTTAGTGCATAGAATTGATAGAATTATGATTGAACTGGAAGTTGAAATTTTATAAAGGCATGTTTTAAAACATGAATTTAGATTTCAAATCTGAATTTGGCTCAAATTCGATGTTTGAAAACTTAAAACTTTTGAATTTGAATTTGAATCAAATTCTTTTCATTAATAACAAAACTTAATTTTAAATCCATGCCCCTCCCTTGTCATTTGAAATTCAAGATTTCAAATTTTGAAATTGAAATACATGAATTGAAATGAAATCCTATTTGCTAAACAATACCTAAAATTGATTGGGATGTAATTGAAATCTCTAATCCCAATTCATTTTTGACGGTATCAAATCTAAATTTACATTTTTTCGTGCTATCAGACAACAAAATAAAAATTATGTCCTCAATTTTAATTCTATAATTTAAACTTCGTGTACTAAATGGAACCTTAGTTTTATTCAATCCAATTCAGTCGCATTTAGTTCTATTGAACATTTTTTATTTTTTTGGGTACCCAATATGACCTCAATTTCTATTTGAAAATCAATGGATTAATATTAATCCAAATCAAAGTGCAATGATTCAGACCAACCCCCACCCACCTCCCCATTGTTAGCCAAAGCCCTAAAAACAATTCATTAATTCCATTAACGGGCCACCTTAGAGGCCCAGATTAATACAAAGCGGTTGGGGCTGGGGCAAGGGCTAAGGCTTTTATTCACGTTCCCAATCTCCCTCCCATCCCTCCAAGGCGGCGACCACGCTGTTCTGCTTCTTCACAAATCGAATCGCAAGCTGAAATAGCTGAGCTAGTGCAAAATGGTATGCCATCTCCCTTTCATCTCGCGTTTACTCTTGTATCACGCTTCTCTGTTCTCATTTGATCTGTTTCATAATTTCTCGTTCGTCGTTCACATTTCAGGTGACGTACTCCAGAGAGCCCGACAATCAAACCAAGTGTAAGTTCTTCCAGTATGCGGAATGGCTTTTTCTATTTTCTCCCTTTGAATTTTATGCTTTGTGCTTGTTAAATTGATTTGATGAAGCGCAGTATGTTCTAGGCCTCCTCAGCTCTTATGAATTAGAACACACTTTCTCCATCTTCATTCCGTTCTGGGTTAAATTGATTTAAATAGAAAGAAATTGACATAGGTTGTCCACCACTTGAAATTATTTGAACATTACTTAGAAGTATATGATATGGGTTTATTAATTTAGCAGACATACCAATGACTAACTCCAAGATTGTGTTTTGTCATGTTTTCCTTGATATATTAGAACATTGAATCAGGACAATTTTCCAGACCCATCTTTCACTCAAATCTTTATTGTTTTATGAGAATTTTTTTTACTCCAAGATTTTATTTCCCAATCCTTTTTTACTTTCCAGAAGATCTCTCTTAAGACAAAATTTCTCATCTTTTCCTAATGGCTTATGTCCTTCCAGGTCAATAATGCAATCACTATTTTCATTTATTTCTTTCTACAGAGATCAAATTTTTTTCATTGTTATTTATCTAAAATTGAATAAATTCTAAACAAATTTGAATCGTTTACTCTAAACACACCTTCTCACAAAGTGTGGGATAATAGCATGGTTGCCCCATGTGGTTTACAAAAGGAGCGCCAAAACCCCCTCTACTTTCAAAAGTTATTTGTAAAACCCCTGTGGTTTTTAAATAGTGCACAAACACCCCCTCTTGCCTATTTTACACATGAAATGACATTTCTGCCCTTGGTTTTTCTCTATCTTCAAATTTCACTCTTTTCTTTAGATTTTTTGTTATACAAATAAATAAAATAAAATATACGCCCTCTTTCTCAAATTAAAATTTTTTATTTATTTAATTTTCAAAAAAATAATTTTTTTAGAAAATGTTACAAAAATGAAATAAAATACACTTTTTCATTATAAGTAAAAGTGAAATAAATAAAATAAAAAGTTGGATAACATATACTCACTCTATCTCTAATTAAAAATTCTAACTTATTTGTTTTTTAAAAGTAAAATAATTTTTTAAGGACTTTAAAAAATGAAAAACAGAAAGATGAAATAAAATATGGAGTTAAAGAAAAAAACTATTTTTTATATTTTTATTTCTTTTAATTCCTTTTTTAACTATTATTACTTTTTACTTTGTATATAACATTTTATTTTTCATTTTTTTGTAACATTCTTCAAAAAATCTTTTGTTTTCAAAAGTACATTATGAAAAATTCTAATTTGAGATGGGAAGTGTATATTTTATTTTATATATTTGTATAATAAATGAAATTGAAATTGGAAAAATTCAAGATTGGGGAAAACAAATGGCATAAATGTCATTTTTGCTCTAAAAATAGGTAAGGGGGGCATGTGCGCTCTATTTAGAAACCACAAGGACTTTACAAATAACTTTTGAAAACAGAAGGGGTTTTGATGCCCTTTTTTTAAACCACAGGGGGGCAACCATGCTATTAACCCCACAAAGTGTTGAAATGAAGTCT